GAGGGCCGGAAGCGGGGCGGCTGGAAGCAGGGGGCGGGGCTTCGTCATGTGCCCCACCCCCGCACCTCACCCGGGGAAACTGCGTTCCCCCGCGATCCCCCCCGAAATGACCTCTGGTCTTAAGTCTGAGTCCAGTGGCACCTTTGAGACCAACAAAGTTTAATTCTGGCTATAAGCTGTTTAGCTGCTTGAGTATCACATTTGATGATTTACTGATGCTCTGACATTGCTCCCTCGTCAGACCGGAACCTGCATGTCAATCAGGATTGGGGGTGGGAATAGAATTCTGGGGTCCACCACTTGATACTGCAAGTTGGTGGGAAGGATGGGTCCTTGTTTCCAATGTATGCCCACATTAAAAGAAAGAACTGCATGTAAACTAGTGTGTATTTCTGAGAGACTGAAGCTGAGTGTAGCCCTCTCCTTTGTGTTCTAGTTTGCTATGTGAAGGGTTCCTAGCCTTGCGCTGGGAAATTTGGGGGGCAATGCCTGGGTTGAATTTCATGAGGATGTGATTTTACTTCTGGGTGACGCTCTAGGAATTTCCCATAATCTCTATTGAAAGTGCCATAGAGACTGGGTGGGGAGAATTCCTGGAGCTTCTCAATAGACATCATTTCCTCCATGTTTTTGTTCCCACTCCTAAAATTATGGGGTGTGTGTGTTTGTCTGTAGTCAGGCAAACGGCAAGTCTATGAAGGGAGTATGTGTGTGGATAGCATTCAGAAATATGAACACGCACCCCCCACTTGCATTTAAAGTGCACCAGGTCTACATAATGTGTTTAGTGGCTGAAATTCAGAATTTGTGACACTATCAATTATGGCCGGCCTCAGGTAATAAGCTTACTGCAATGATGTGAAGAGCCTTGCGTTTGGGTGTTTCTGTTGCTTCTCTCTGAGCTGAAGTCGCCCTCCCTTTGCCCACTCCCTCTCTCTCCTCCTCTCTCCTCTCCCCTGCGTCCCCCCCCCAAATGCTCCAAAGCTTTTGCTTGCAAACTGATTGTGTCGTACTTCGAGTTGGGCTCAGCAGCCAACTCTTTTGTCGAAGGCAGCTCTTCCTTGGCTTTCTGTCTCCTCCCTTGCTCTCTTAATCAACGTGTTCCATTAACCGATGTGTCTAGCTCCCCCATTTTCCACGGCTGCGTGAACGAGCGCCTGGCTGACCGCACGCCCTCCCCCACTTTCTCCACGGCCGACTCCGACATCACCGAGCTGGCCGACGAGCAGCAGGACGATATGGAGGATTTTGACGACGAGGCCTTTGTGGACGATACCGGCTCCGATGCTGGGACCGAGGAGGGATCGGATCTCTTCAACGATGGGCACGACCCGTTTTACGACCGGTCCCCTTGGTTCATTTTAGTGGGAAGGTTGGTGAGGTCAACTGTGAGAATGAGCCACAGGGGCTAGCTCTTGCCTTGCACTGCTCAAGCGTCACAGTTGCCTGGCCGTAACAGGCCACGTTGTTCCGAGTCAAACCACGGGCGAGAGGCGGCCACACAAAGGCATCTGCTCCGTGGCAGATTAAAGCACAGTTGCCCTCATTCGGGTCAAGGCAAGGCGGCATGTTTCTGCAATTCCACCACTGCACTTCTTGAGCATTTATCTCCCGCCCTCCCTTGCAAGGAGGCTCAGGGCAGGTTACAGCCATAAAAACAATAGTTCTGAAGGCATTATAAATAATAGATACCAGGCAGGCGTCCAGTAAAAACATCTCGGCCTCCCCTGCTGAAGACGCCATCTCCATGCGGCCCGGATTGAACAAACGCAGAGTCCAGCGGCACCCGTGTCAGTGCAAATTGCTTTTAAATGTCGTTTTGATGTTTTAATGAACTCTGTTGTTGTTGTTGTTGTTGTTGTTGTTGTTGTTATTATTATTATTATTATTGCTTTGTGTTGCCGAATGGCCTGACTGTTGCTGCGATCCGCCCTGAGCCCGTTTGCGGAGAGGGCGGGACGGCACATTTGAATAAGTAAATAAATTATAAGCCCCCATTTAAAATCGAATACCAATTTAAATACTAAAACATTTAAAACGCGACGGCGACCCAGGTAATTTCATATGCTCAAAGGGCACACTGTGCCAGTGCCAGGGGGCAGTAATTTGAACAGGTGAGCCAAATTGCCGTCAGGAGCATAGGAGTGCCCAGCACAGGCAAGTTCAGGCAGGGGAGGCCGATATAAGTGGGCATCCGCCGTCTCAGCCAAAGGTCTGGCGGAAGAGCTCCGTTTTGCAGGCCCTGCAGAATTGCAGAGGAGGTGATGGTGGAGGATTCGGGAGGCTTGATTGGCCAGTGAAATGCCTCCCTCCCTCCCCATGGGATCAGGTTTGTCGCTTGTGGGTACTCATGGACCCAGCTTTGCTTCCAGCTTCCCAGAAAGTAGTCGCGGCCCAAAATCTGCTGCCTTCCCCCACTCCCCACCTTAAACTGATCCCCCGCTAAGTACACTGCCGAACCACAAGGATTTGCCTGCTCTCATTCTTGCCTTTATAATTTCCAGATTAGCTCTTTTCTAAATTTCTATACAGCTTTTTGGGAAAAGGATTTTTTTTTGTTTTTATGTGACACTTTGTAAATTAATAGCTGAGAAGAAGTACAGGAATATGGTAAATAAATTAATTGGATTCTGGGTCACACATCCGGAGAATTTCAGGTTTGAATTAAAAACAACCACAACAAAGAACACTCTCCTACGAGTGTCCCTGAAGAGCTGGAAGTTCCGTTCATGCGGACTGGCGAAATCCTCCAAAACCAGAGCAGGAGGTCCAGTGGTCAGGGGTGTGAAGCTCCAGTCTTCTGTTGCAGCTGCTTCCTGTGATTAACAGAAGCGAAATAAATTGTGCGAGTTGACTTAATCCACCTAAAATGTTATGCGGACTCTAATCCAGGAGAACAGGGTTTGATTCCCCACTCCTCCACTTGCACCTGGCTGGATGACCTTGGGCAAGCCGTAGTTCTGACAAGAGCTGTCCTTGAAAAAGAGCCGTTTCTGTCAAGAGCTCTCTCAGCCCCGCCTACCACACAGGGTGTCTGTTGTGGGGAGGGGAAGGGGGAGGAGTTTGTAAGCCGCTCTGAGACTCCTTTGGGTAGTGAAGGGCGGGGTATATATCCAGTCTCCTCCTCCTCTTCTTCTTCTTCCCCCAATAGCCAATCTACACGCATACTTGTTTAATTTCCGCAGTGTGCTGTGATGGCAGAACGGATGTCTCTTTCACTCTGTAAATTAAGCAGAGAGGCTGCCTAGCCCAGAGGGCCCCCCCCCCAAGCTTTCAGGGTCAGCCCAGGAATGGATAAGGTTGGCGCCTTCTGTCCAGCTGCCGCTTCATAGAACTCTTGTGGGGGGGGGGACCCGGCAAGTGACTGTTCTGTTCTCTGAAGCTTTATTCCCAAACCCTGTTCTACCGAAAAGAGCGAGGGAGTTCTGCAGGGCTTACCCACGGCTCCTTGCCGCTTGCCTGCCTGTGCTTTAATCTGCGCGCGGCCGCCACCTCGTGGCTTAATGCGCAGTGGAAGAGCTTGTCCCTCTGGCCCTTTCTTTTGGCATGCCGAGATGTCATTAAAGTCTTGTGAAGCTTCCGCCGCCGAGATCGGGAGGGGAGGTGGGCGTGGGTGGCCGCGCAGCCCGTTTTCTCAAACTTCCTGAACCGATGTTGCGTTTATCAAAAAAGGGGGAGGGGCGCCCCTCCCCGGTCATTCCGAGCTCCGTTGCCATCACGTCGAATCTAAATTTTTCTCATTCAAGTTTCATTTCTAGTTATCTTGTTTTGTAAATATGCCATTTTTACCTCACCGATCTTTCTGCTAATATTGTTTGTGTGTCGTGTTTGTTCCCCCCCCCCTTTCCAGTCTGCTGTTGCTTTAAATGGCGGGGGGGGGGGTTCGCTCACAGATGGAACCGGCCGTTCTGCACGTAGCCCTGTTGCCAGCGCACTGCCTTTTAGTGCAGTCTTTGCAAGAGGCCTTAGGGGAGTGATTCCCCGACTGTGCCCCAGCATGCTTTGCGAAGGGCCGGTGGCCATAGGGCTCCTCCAAGTGGGGAGACCTCCCGCCTCCTCGCCCCCCCCCCGTCCCTAAGCCAACATCCTTCCAGGAACTAGCCTTGCGCCGGGTCTCTTTGAACGAGCCGGTGTGGTCGCTGAGCCGACAGAGATGTGGAGCAAGCCCCGAAAGCATCCCCCGTGGCTAACGGAGGCCCGTCTTTGAGCCCTGACAAACCAGGCAAAAGGGAAAGGTGGTGGGGCAGTATTGAGGTTAGCATGACTGAGAGCTGCTCCTCACTTGTAAGGAGAAGTCATGCCTGCTTTGCCGGAAGCCGATCAAGACGAGGCGTGTCTGCCCTGCCCTGGATAGGCCAGGCAAGCCCGATCTCATCAGATCTCAGCAGCTAAGCAGGGTCGACCCTGGCGAGTATTTGGACGGGAGACCTCCAAGGAATACCAGCAGTCGGGAGGATAGGGGCAGGCTTTATTCAGCCACCTCTCTGAATATCCTCCGGGCCCCCAAGTAGGGGGTCAGTCACCAGAGGTCGCCATCGATGCTCCCTCTAAGCTGTGGAGTCTTGTGAGCAAACATTCTACTTTGTGAGCTACTATCATTAAAGTTGTGGGTGAGTGATTTGGCCATGGCATAAATGAGTTTGCCCTGGAGCCCTCCTTCCTGAGCGAAGACAAAAATGTGTGAGCGGGAGGCTCGAAAACTGTGAGCTGGCTCACGCTATCTCAGCTTAGAGGGAACACTGGTCGCCATGACTTCCAGGTGCACACACAAACACACATGCACGTATGAGAAATACTAAAAAATATCCACCCACCCCAGACAATGCACATGTTATCTTCTTGGGGGTAAGAGGTGCAGTCTGTGTCAAGGTACAAACCCCGGGCATCAAGTCTGGGGAAGATTGTCTCCGATGACAAGACTCTACCTGGGCTTGTGTCTCTTCCGCAGGACGAGCCCAACTCGTCTCGCCTTATTTCGGGGGGTAGGTGCGTCGGTCTGCAGCGGGACAGTTAGATATGAGTCCGGTAGCACGTTAGAGACCAACAAGGTTTTCGGGGCAGAAGCTTTTGAGAGTCAAAGGTCCCTTAGTCAGATAGATACCTGCAGAAGTGAGTTTTGACTCTCGAAAGCTTATATCCTGGAACTCTTTGTCAGTTTCTAGGGCGCGTCCGGTCTCGAATCTAGCCGCTCATCCTGTGTTGTATATCCTTTTAGTGGTGATAATGACTTCGCCTGAGTTTGAATTCCTGACCCAGTGCAATCGGATGATTCTACCGTGGGGGGGGGGGGGGTGACAACCCCCCCCCCTTTTTAAAAGACTTAGTTAAGTGACAGTCCAGCATTCCGGGCACCTCGGTGTCTAGCCATGCCGGCCACATGACCACAGACACTTCCCCGGACAGTGCTGGCCCTTCGGCTTGGAAATGGAGATGAGCAAGGGACACGGAAAGTCGACTGGCTTTCGAGCGAGGGAGACCTTTACCTTGCCTTTTTGCCTCTTGGCTTTTCTGTCTGGTGTGGTTAGCATACTTCGTCGGAGCAGACTGGAAAAGGAGGTAGATCCCAGTTGAGTTGTTCCAGTGTCGAGTTGGCACTTATTTCTGTTCGTGTTTTCATTTTGCAGCTGCCCTCGCTTTATTAATCTCTCTCTTTTATATTGCCATTGTGTTGACATTTTATGTATTAGTCTACATATATATTTTGTTTTAATCACTTTGAGCTGGTGTTTTACGTTGCCCACCTTTTTCTTCATTTCAGGAGCTTCATCTAGGTTGGCTGGCTAATGAGCAGAACGTACTAATGCCTTTTCAATAGACCCTGAAAAGTGACTCTTTTGCAGTGTCTGCCCCCCCCCCAGCTTGCCTTTCCGTAAATGATGCCATTTGTGGCATAAAAGAAAAACGAGCAAGCTCTTGTAAAAGCTGCCTGGTCACCGGAGGAGCTGAACCTTAGTAGCAGAAGTGCATGCTTTGAATGCAAGAGGCCGCTGGTCCAATCCCAGTGAAGGGATTCTCAGTCAATCTATGAAGCTGCTTTATTCTGAGTCAGGTTATTGGCCCATCGAGCGCAGTATCGTCTAGGTTTGACTGGCAGTGGTTCTCCAAGGCTTTAGGGGGGGAGAGCTGCCATCCCTGCTGCTACGCAAGATCTTTCAACTGGAGATGCTGAGGACTGAACAGAGGACCTCTTGCACACAAAGGATTTCTGCTGCTGAGCTGTGAATGTCCCCTGTGAATTACAGTAGCGGGAAAACATTGTTCGAAGGGCCAGTTCACATGTTACTTTTAATGCCGTGGAGACTAATCTCATGTCGGAAAAATTCAGGTGTACATCAGTGTAATTTTCAGTTGAGTCCTGCGTCCCACTCCTCACCATTGCAAGCTGTGTATGGTGAAAGTGTTAATATGCAGCCTTCCTGTAGACGTACAATACAGCTTGTAATTCATTGCTGGGCCGTTGCAGATGGTGGTACCTTAACTGAAATATACATGGAGGGGGAAGATATTTTGTTTCAAGGAAAATTGCCCTTTAACCATCTCTCCCCCCCCCCTTCAAAGTACATTGTGAAGAAAGCCTCTTCTTTATTCGCTTATCTAAACTTCACAAGGTGCCGGACGGGTTTTCACAGGCTCCAGTTGTCCCGTAGATCTCTTTTTAAGTTGCTTAGTGGCTTGCTATATGTGTTTTACAGTTTGTTCACACATTTCTGAAGTCATCTTTGATAAACCAACATCTCAGCAACAATTGTTTGGGTGGCTGGCTTTCATGTGCACACACAAGTCTCCGCTGTGTGTTGTACTGGCCAGAAGGAAAAAAAAAATAGGAAGAACACCGTTGTGATGCATCTTTAGAATGGGGGGGGGGGGGTTGAAGCAAGACATTAGTCTATCATATTTAACTAGTTTCCAATCCAATTACCTTTATTGGTATGTAATTTAACTCGTTAAATACAAATCTCCGCCACCCTTCTCTTCCCCCCCAGGGCATTTGTCTACCTGAGCAATCTTCTCTACCCCGTCCCGCTCATCCACAGAGTGGCAGTGGTCAGTGAGAAGGGGGAAGTGCGTGGGTTTCTGCGAGTGGCCGTTCAAGCTATTGCTGGTAAGAGGCTGCAGTCCTGCAGGAGAGACGCTGTTCTGGAATAGGCCGCAGAACTTGAAAAAAGTAACCCTTTGTGATCTTTCTCTGTTTCCTAGCGGATGAAGAAGCCCCAGATTATGGGTCTGGTGTTCGGCAGTCTGGCACAGCTAAGATCTCCTTTGATAATGAGTATTTTAACAAGGTAACCCGCTCCGTAATTGAATGAGGAGTATTTTAGTCAGGATGTCCTGATTTGTGTGTGCAGGGGTCGTTTTGTAGAAAAAGAGCTAGGGGAACTCATTAGCATAACTCATTAGCATATGCCACACCCCCTAACATCACCGGAAGTCTGTCATAAGGCCACACACCCCGCCCCCAA